GTATGTAAGGTTATAGTTCGGACTTAAAGGAAACTAGAATGAAAATCATGAATGTTTTTAATATTTATGGTAATATATATGAATTTATTTTATTTCCATCTATAATGTTAATATAGGAAAAATATGATGAACTTTTAATGAGCACTGCTAGTGGTGATGGTGGTGATGGTGATGGTGGTGGTGATGGTGGTGATGGTGGTGATGGTGATGGTGGTGGTGATGGTGGTGATGGTGGTGGTGGTGGTGGTGATGGTCATGCCGTGTCTGAGCCATCGGTTGACAGTATGGCATTATGGGTGGAGGCAGCGAGTGGGATGAAAGGAGGAAAAATATTTGGGATGGGATCCTTGTCAAGGATGTACAAATCGAAGGCTGCTGCAACTTCATCCTCCAATGCGGCTGTTTCAAGAAGGACACGACATGAGGAGCATATAACCCAAGAATTGAGCCAACTGAAGCAGTTGCTTGTACAGAAGGACGAAGAAATGAAGTATTTACTTGGACAGAAGGATGAACAAATAAGGGTGATGCAACAACAAATGCAAATTGTCATGCGACATCTCGACATCGATCGCAATGAGGTTCCTCCTCTACCTCATATTAATCCAATTGATGATGGGCATAATGCTGAGCCACAAAATGATGCGGCGATTGGTGATGATGATGATGATGATGCTGATGATTTTATTGTTAGTCCTTTCTAGTTCATTCTCGAGTACCGAAGCTACCAATATTTTATGGTTGTCCCGCGTTCTTTCAATGTTTTGAACGTATCACCCGATGTTCATTAGTGCTTATCTGCCTCTTCGTATTATGAGATTGAATATCGAATATCATCATATGAGACTTTGCAACTTATGCATCGTAGAAATTAATATTGCTTTCTTACCAAAAAAAAATTAATATTGATAATAATTAGATTTAAAATCGAAATTGTCGCTAAATAAAATTCGTCGCAAACTTAGCGACGAATTTTGTCACGAATAGTTTTCGTTGCAAATTACCAACGAAAATTGAATTTTTTTGATGGAAAAAAATCGAATTTCCAGCGATTTTTGCAGCGAATAATTAGCGCCAAATTTTGCAACGAATTTTCCCACAAATGTTGTTTTCGTTGGAAATTACCAACGAAAATTGTAATTTTTTGGATGAAAATTTCGCGGATTTCCCACGATTTTTTGCAACGAATAAGAATGAATTTATATACGATTTTTCCAACGAATTTAGTTTTCGTCGGAAATTACCAACGAGAATTGCTATTTTTTGTCGGAAAATTTGCGATTTCCAACGAATTTTTTTTTCGTGGGAAATTAACAACGAAAAATTTTTGTCGGAAAAATTCGCGATTTCCAACGAATTTTTTTTTCGTCGGAAATTAACAACGAAAATTGTAATTTATTGTGGGAAATATTCGGGATTTCCAACGAATTTTGGTTTTGTCGGAAATTACCAACGAAAATTGTTTGTCGGAAAAATGCGCGATTTCCAACGAATCTTTTTTTCGTTGGAAATTAACAACGAAAATTGTTTGTGGGAAAAATTCCCGATTTCCAACGAATTTTTTTTCGTCGGAAATTAACAACGAAAATTGTAATTTCTTGTTGGAAATATTCGGGATTTCCAACGAATTTTTTTTTCGTCGGAAATTACCAACGAAAATTGTTTGTCGGAAAAATTAGCTTTTTCCAACGAATTTTTTTTCGTTGGTAATTAACAACGAAAATTGTTTGTGGGAAAAATTCCCGATTTCCAACAAATTTTTTTTTCGTCGGAAATTAACAACGAAAATTGTAATTTGTTGTCGGAAATATTCGGGATTTCCAACGAAATTTTTTTTCGTTGGAAATTAACAACGAAAATTGTTTGTCGGAAAAATTCGCGATTTCCAACGATTTTTTTTTCGTTGGAAATTAAAAACGAAAATTGTAATTTCTTCTCGAAAATATTCGGGATTTCCAACGAATTTTTTTTTCGTCGGAAATTACCAACGAAAATTTTTTGTCGGAAAAATTCGAGATTTCCAACGAAATTGTTTTTCGTCGGAAATTACCAACGAAAATTGTATTTTTTTGTAGGAAAATTTCGCGGATTTCCCACGATTTTTGCAACGAATAATTTGCAACGAATTTTTCCAACGAATTTTAGTGACGAATTTTGCCACGAATTAATTTTCGTCGGAAATTATCAACGAAAATTCAATTTTTTTTTCGTCGCTAATTTCGTTGGAAATTACCAACGAATTTTGCCACGTTTTTTCCAACGAATAATTACCAACGAATTTTTCAACGAACTTTCCAACGAATTTTCCCACGAATTTTTCCAACGAAATTTTTCCAACGAAAAAATTTCATTGCAAATTACCTACGAAAATTTAAATTTTTTGTCGGAAAAATTTGCAACGACGAATTACCAACGAATTTTTTTTCGTCGCAAAATTCGTTGGAAATTTGTTTTCCAATGAATTTTGCCCAATTTTTCGTTGGAAAACTCTTGTTTTTTTGTAGTGAACACTTCGACACTGTCTAAATTTTTCCATATTCATCCATGTGAGCATCTGTAAATATTATCCGTATAATACTATGGCATCGTTCGATAGTACGTCGGCTGAATTTGATTGGATTTGCTTCAAAATGACTTGATTAAACAAAGTAAAAGTACGTGAATCAATTTTGGCTTTTAGGACCCGGGGAAATTGTCAAATCAGTCCTAAACCTATTGTACGGCGGCCAATTCAGTCCTAAATCTTTTAATTTTGCCAATTCAGTCCTAAACCTTTCTAATTCTTGCCAATTCAGTCCTTCCGGCCAATTTTGGCCGGTCGGCGCTGATGTGGCAATTTTTTATTATTTTTTTTCAATTTTTTAATCGTTTTTTTTCTTTTTTTTTTCTGATTTCCTCCTCTGGCCGGTCCTGCGACCGGCGGCCGGCCAGAGGGGAGGGCCGGTGAGGTCGACCTCGCCGGCCTCGCCGCTGCTGGGCCTCGCCTCGCCGTCGCTTGGTTCGCAACGGCGAGGTCGAGCCTCGCCCGTGATCCGGCGAGGCTCGACCTCGCCGTCGCCCGGGTCACGACGGCGAGGCGAGGCCCAAGAAGGTGGTGAGGCCAACCTCGCCGACTCCCGGGTCGCGACGGCGAGGTCGAGCCTCGTCCGGATCCGGCGAGGCTCGACCTCGCCGTCGCGAAACAGCGACGGCGAGGCGAGGCCCAGCCGGCGAGGCTCGACCTCGCCGTCGCCTAGTTCGCGACGGCGAGGTCGAGCCTCGCCCAGATCCGGCGACGGCGAGGTGAGGCCCAAGACGGCGAGGCCGACCTCGCCGACGGCGAGGTCGCGACGGCGAGGTCGAGCCTTGCCCGGATCCGGCGAGGCTCGACCTCGCCGTCGCGAACTGTGCGACGACGAGGCGAGCCCGCCAGCCGGCGAGGCTCGACCTCGCCGTCGCGAACCAGCCGGGCCTCGCCTCGCCCGGCGCAGGCGAGGCCGACCTCGCCGATGCTTGGGTCGCGACGGCGAGGTCGAGCCTCGCCCAGATCTGGCGAGGCTCGACCTCGCCGTCGCGACCCAGGCGACGGCGAGGTCGGCCTCGCCTCAGCAGCGGCGAGGTCGACCTCACCGGCCCTCCCCTCTAGCCGGCCGCCGGTCGCTGGTCGCCGGACCGGCCAGAGGAAGAAATAAAAAAAAAATGATTAAAAAAGATTAAAAATTTGAAAAAAAATAATAAAAAATTGTCACGTCAGCGTTGGCCGGACGGCCGACGCCGGCCAGCGGCCACGTCAGCGCCAGCCGGCCAAAATTGGCCGGAAGGACTAAATTGGCAAGAATTAGAAAGGTTTAGGACTGAATTGGCAAAATTAAAAGGTTTAGGACTGAATTGGCCGCGGTACAATAGATTTAAGACTGATTTGACAATTTTCCCTTTAGGACCATGCAAAGGACAACGTGAAACTCGTGGATTTCTTAAGTTTTCCATGATCAAATTTCCTTCTTCTTCTTTTTTATGTAAATTGACACTATTCTCTAATGAAAGTGCTCATTACGTTTTGTGAGTTGATAGTGGATGGGCTTGGCCTCGGCCTTGGACTTACTTGGGCTTATTTTCAAAATTTGTTCCAATGAACCAAATTGATATTCTTCAACAACCTATGCCCTAAATAATGAGTAGGACTTTTTTTTTGGTCAAAATTTTAAATCTCGAGTTGAAATGAAAAGTAAAAACATTTTTAAGAAATATGTTCTTTATTTCCCGAAACATGTACGATACGATTCCTCAAAACAAAAACTTTCAAAGTAAACAGAAATCTCGAAACCTCATATTGTTGTGTCGTTCACAAAATTTGTCTTCTGATTATAATTTGATGTCATTCTTGATGAAATTTCGAAGGCGAGATTTTCTTCTTCTTCTTTTTTTCATTTTGTATGAAAGCAAAATTGGTTTCCCTTAATTTTACTTGAAAATATTTTTTATAGCATATATAAACATAATGCGATTTTGGAATTACTTTTCTAAAAAGTGAATGCAGAAACTTGGCGTTAAATTCAAAAGGATATCGTACGCATGAACAGTGTCAACTCCAATTTAATATTACTAAACACCAAATTAAATATATTGCGTAATAATATTGGAACAAGGAACGCTGTGTTATTTACCCGAACATGTCCACACGTTTTTTAACCCTAGAAAAAGAGAAAAGGAAGAAGTTTGAACTGGACACTTACATATAATGATTGAGTCTTATCATATAACAAAATTCGACAGAGAATTCGGGTAACAACCCTCGATGCGTAGGTAAATTTCGAGCACCTTCCTCTTTCATAAGTCCCGATTCTTTTCGAAATTTGATTTTGAGCGATCCTCGTCGTTATGTCAGCTCATACTTATTTCATAACGACAACATGAGTGATTTATATGAAATGGTTCGAGAGTGAATTATTCTTCACTTAAGATCAATGCTCACAAATTGGAGACAATTGTTGCAAATGAACCGAAACCGGAAGATGGAGTAGTACTAGAAGAACTTTGCTTAATTACAACTGGATGACTACACATTATGGTTAATCATTGTGCAGGAGCACTTGCTAGCACAATCCTAGAAGAATAAAAAAAAACACATACATCCTCATCTTGAGGCAGATCAGATCATACACTTACACATGGGATCACCAACGATCCATTGACTCTACGATTGATTTAGGTGACGCTGATCGAAGAGGCTTGATCCAACTGATGACTCGGGGAGGCGAGTGTCAGCTCCAGGTTAGGTTTCAAACCCTGATGCCCGTTTGCAGTCGAAGCATGGTTAACGGGATTCGAACTCGGGAGCTCATGATCGTATGAACATGTACGGGGAGAGGTTAGCAGTGCCATCCTTGTTCCACTGTCTAGTCCAATTGAGCCAAATTGAGGTGAGAAGAGACATATTGGGGTGAAAGAAGATTCACTTGGCTTTCGGATCTGTCCATGATGATGAGCACTGCATCTTTCCTTCCCCACCTGGCGAAAAAACACATTAATTAGTGCGCCAACAAGCGGATTAGCATAGTTCAAAACAATGAATAAAGAAAACAATCTTTCTTTATTCCCGTGAATGCACTTGAAAAGTGGTGGACAAAAGAATTGATTAACGGCTGAAATCTCAAGATTTTAAAGCATGAGAAATCACTAATTTACTGTCAAATGGCTCTGCAACTTGGGAAGAGCGAGGGAGGGAGGAGACGGAATGAGTTATACATCGAAGAGGCTGGGACGACGCTTGCTTCGCTTGTGGAGGCTGTTCTTGCGGAGGAAATACTTCTGGGCGTGGCTGGCGACTTGGGTGGGCGTCCTGGTGCTGACGAACTTCTTGGAGATGCCTCTCCAATCCCCCTTCCCGAGCTTCTCCAGCCCCATCAGGAACGTCCGGTGCTCCTCCTCCGTCCACGGCACGCCTGACCCATCACACGTCACTTAGTTCATCAGATCATCAGCAAGAACATTAGTCGAGAAACCCTAATCGTTGGCTCTTCAAGATTCGTCTCCAGATCATCGAAGAAAACAGCAACGTTAGAGATCGATTGTGGGAGTCGAAAACCCAACCGGAAACTTCGCAAGTTTCTCCGATCAGATGGATCTGCAGAGGTGAGATGTTACGAATCTTGCCCTCCTCCCCACAAAAAGCAAAGAATACAAAGTAAAACTACAGTTGCATCATATGAGACAGATCAGACAGACAGACGGACAGACAAAAGCTGACCTTTTTTCCTCTCTTGGGCTCGCCCAAGAAAGCCATCAGAGGCAAACCCATCATTACTGGCGTTACTAGCCGCTTTGTGGAGACCCTCGTCTTGAAGAAGACGATCTCCGACGTCGCAAGCAGCGCGTAGCGAGAGAGAAGAATCGGTCGTCGCCGAAGAAGACGATGGTGAATACGACGACGTTAGAACACACGATGTGGATGGCATCAGACAGTCCATGCTCAGGCTCTTCTTCAACGCGAGACGCGACGCCATGCCACAAGGATAACCGGCCTCGAGCTGCACCCCGAACAGCTTGACTCCACCCCCACCAAAGCTCGCGTCTCTCTGGATCGACGCGCAGGTTCTTGAATTGTGACCCATGAATCCACAGTGCGAGCATTTTCTTCCCATTCTCTCTCTCTCTCTCTCTCTCTCTCTCGTCCACTCGCAGACACACGGGGAGGGACGAATCAGTGCCTACAGAGTATGCGACGAGTTTGTCGTTATATATAATCACAGCATTAACAGCATACAGCAGGAGCAAGAAGAAAGCAAGATTTCTGTATGCGTAATAAATATGTTTACATACGCCAACCATTTTGCCGCAGAGGACAGCAAAAACAGTATGCTGGGGGTGTCCTACCCAATGCTTTGCAGGAACTTTTTCCTAGGATCATCTTAAATATCTTGTAACTAGGATACTGGCCATCCTTAACTAGGGCCCCGGGGCTTTTATTACACATACTTGGTACGACGTGTTATTAATTGCACACGATATCAAAACGAAGTCGGTGTATCAAAAACCGTGAAAAAGGAAAGATTTCTTTAATCGGTTGCTTGGCAAGTGCAGCCCCGGATGCAAAAGTTGGGAAGTCATTTGTGGTGGGTTGCCGATAAAATTGAATTTCATCGAACACTGTGACGTGAATTTCACTAAATTATTATGCCTTTTAAGAGAAGATTGCTTGTTGATAATAACATTTTGCACCCACGTTTTCTTAGTGCTAAGTCTAGTGGTAACATGATCTTCAAGCATTGTGTGGTACTCGCACGTGCAAGATCCGAGGTTTGGTGATATGGAGAAGGTAAACTTTCGTTTGATACTTTGAAAGTTAGGGTTTACAGAATTCGTTTCGATACATATACGAACATGAGTTGATATTGCTAACATCGCGTACAAGAAAAGATCCTTCTATCGACTACAAATAATTATAAAATGTTTGAGAGCGATACTACCGATTTCTTTTACCCTTGCCCTTATGCTCGGAATTCCAAAATGTTCCTCTACTTTTATTTCGTTTATTAGAGACGATCCCTGCATTTTTTAATATTGGTCACGGTTTCGTATTAATCATAAGGTGACCTCTTGTGAATTATTCAGGTTCTCCTAATTCCAAGAGGCACATGCAAATTAATAGATATGTACAAAACATTCACAAAGCAACAACATAGTACTCCATACGGCTCAGATTCACTGCTTAACCCTATCCCCAACAATAATTTTATGCATGTGGTCCTTCAATTTTATTTCGCTTTATCCTGCTCATGCACGTGTACTAGGCAACTTGCCCAAACCCAAAAGATCACCACCATTCGATCTCGACCACCGTGACGTTTAGCGATGGAGCAGGCCTTTGCCTCCATCTTATTCAATGGTACATGCGAGCTGGGCTTACACGATTCAAATTCACTCAAGATTTTTTCAAGGCGATGTGGTCAACCTTTTGAATCTGCCATCTATGGTGACGTAGATTTCCGAGGATGTGGCCTCGTATGATCCATGAGTGTTGCTTCAGTTAAGCTTTTTGTCTTGACTCTCTTGCTTGCAGAAATAGAAAGCTGCCTCTGTATTTTCACTGCCTTTGGACGGGGGAGCCAAGACAAAAACGCCAATCACCACATATGCCAAAATCTAAAGCGCGAGGCACGACATAAAGGCAGATATTGATTGCGAAAAACAAGTAATTTTCTGGTGGATTTCCATAATTTTATGTACCGGTAATATGATCGAAATGAAGAGGCAAACTTAATTCGACACGAAAAAGGTTAACCCGCAATGCCGCTTTCCTGCTACATTTTTATAAGAGCAGTTGTATCTAACTTGGTAATATGAATATACACATGAAGATGTTAATTTCCCCGAAAAAGAAAGAAAGTGAAAACAAAATTGACGTTCGAATTTCAACCAAAAACATTAATGCCTTTTGTCTCCTAGTCGAAGTTGTCTGGTGGACCTAATCGTGTCCTTTAATCCCCACCGTCTTTTATGGTCCTTTCATGGCGTCGACCTCTTTCTAAGATTCCTAGGAACAATGGACCATCCCGTTTTTTCTCCTAACCTTGGACTATGCATGTCTTGTCCGTTGTTTCTAATGATCCTTAAGATAAATCCTCCGTTTCCCGATAATTATCGAACAAAAAGGAATAGAGTAAATGTTGTCAGCAATTCGCATAACTTTTTGCATTTTGTGTGTTACGACATTTTTGCACAAAAATAACGTAAATATATAAGAAGTTACAACTGATTACGCGAGTTTATTTGATGAATTATACAATATACATTGGATAACTCTGTTGAAGGATTGGCATTAGTTTCGGTAAATCTTGTCGAGGGTTTCTAAGCAATTTGACTGGTTGACTTTATTTTTCATGCTTAGCCTACCTGACTAAGGTCAACTCACTTGTCGTCTAATTTAGGAAGTTATCCTCTCTTCATTGGTTCATTCTTCACCTGTTTTTGTCTTGTTTAGTAGCATTGGCTCTAGAGGGCCGGGATTCATTATATCTTTCACAAAGTGGCCTTTGACCTTTGTTACGCTTCTTGATAAAAAAAAATACAAATAAAAATATTGAGAAAATTCAAGAATGACTTTGCACATTAAACATAATCAATTACTGTGCATATTAATTATTTTATTTTGACGAAAAACTCAAATTCAACAGTTTGGAAGAGCTCTAAGCCCAATCGGATAAACCATTTCTCTATTTTTTTGCTTTTTACTAAATTATGTTGTTAAAGGTTTCTCATGTGCTAATAGAGTAGGAAAATGTTAGACTTACAAAGACTGGTTTACATAATTGATTTACCAATCAATATGTCAAATTGTTATCGATTCTTAAATACGACTCACTTATTTAAAGGGTCGCTCGCGGTCCACACACTCACCGTCTAGCAATCCACATTTGTAGTCCCGTCTTAGTAAGTAGAGAACAGGTCGGCATAATTATTATCTAAGTATTTATGTTCACACGATGATGTAGATTGTTCACGGGCTTTTTTCCCGATTTTAAATAGGGTCACACCAGATTTTTCATCGTCACTAAATTTGGTGGAACGATGGGAGACTGGTTGATGAAAGAGCAATTCAGGAGACTCTAGAACTGGTCAAGGCCAAAGATACCCATCGTATTGTTCCTTTTTCTTTAATCCTAGCAAACCCTAATCACCCAATCATAAGGATGAATCGTGACTAATAGCACATATTATGAAAACAGCCCATGTGAAAAGATCAATTGAAAAAATGGACTTCTAGGGTTTTGCGTGGTTTGGTGCTCTTTACTATCTTTAATCATGATTAGGTGACCTACGACCAGCAGTGGAAAGTTGTGATTAGTGGGAGGAGGCTGCTGGTTTTGGTGTGAAGGAAAACGAAATACTAATCCTAGGGTTTTGTCTCATTCGCTTTCTCATTAATTTCTTTTATAATCTCCAAGCTGAGGTTTCCTCCACTTTCGATTTGTGTGTCTTTTACTTTACTTTTCTCGAAAGCCTCGCAGCCTTTTTCGAAACCATGTACGAGGATGCGCCAAAGACACTTCAAAGGGAGAAGTGATTGCTTGCCACTTTAAGTTATTTTTTTTTTATTTTTTTTTTGATGACCCAGGGAACCCCCGCACGGCCGACAGCTGGGAGGTAAACCCTGGGGGCGACACGTGCTAGCCACCACACACGTGCACCGGTTAAGTCACCCTGCGGCACCCGGGATTCGAACACTCAACCTTTTGCGAGAGGAAGAGTGCGCGCTCCAGCGGCGCCACCCAGGCGGGTGGTCACTTTAAGTTATTTCGTTATTATAAAAACATATATTACGAGACTTTCTATTAGGATATAATTCAGACTCCCCATCAATAGGAAGGTACGAAAATTCCGTTCCCCAGTGAGCAGGCGAGGGTCCGGGGAGCCGCCCCCGCGACTCCAAGAGGTTTTTATAATTTTGGCCTGTATTTTATTGATATTTTGAGCTTTAATCCATGAATAGCTACTAAGTATATATAATCTCTTTCTCTTGTAATTGAAGATTGTAACAGAATTGTGGGAGACGCTAATTATAGTGAAAGCATCTGCTGTATGTAGTTTTAGTTTAAGGATGAACCATAATAACACTACGTGTCTCGATTTCTCTTTCTCGCATTTATTTTCTATTTCATTGTTTTTATGCGTCTAATCCTAACAATTACTAAAAATCTTAAAGACTAATTTAACAAAATTGGTTTACAGAATGAAGTTTTCAATTCCGAATAATCCTTAAAATAAGTGGGTCATAGTCAATAATCGATAACAATTTGACATGTCATTTGGTAAATTATTCTTGTAAATCCGTCTTAATAAGTCTGATATTTTACACGTATTTATTTTGGGTGAAATATATGCGATGGGACATAATTGCTGTACAAAATTGTATGCAACGGATGAGTTTGTATAATTTAACATTTTCCGGTAAAATTACTTCACGAAATTGATGCGACAGATTTTTGTCAATTGTGTTGACATACGATTCACTTCATTAAATACTTAATTGTAGTTCATCACATCGTTTTGGAATCCGTCGATCTAATATATACTTAGAGGCAATGAAGGGACCGAAAACTGTTGCAACTTTTTTTATCACGTCTCTCAAGCATCTTTACACCAACAGCATAATCGTGTTCACGTGTCATGATCAGATTTTATAATCATGTCACGTCGATCGTTGCAAAATGATGTGTTTTCGTTAATCATGCTATAAAACTTATATATGTTGAATTCGTGCCAATTCTATCACTTGTGTATTCGTCGTATAATTGTGTATAAACATGATAATTCATATCTAAAATTGCCGGTCCCGGCATAGGCGTGGTTAATATTCCAAATGTTCTCACTTTTTCAAAATAAAATAATAAAGGCACTTATTTTTGCCTACGTCCTGTAATTTGCTCTTAATTAAATTAAATGCAGCCCATTGGTTTCCATTTTCAACCAGAAAATGATGTCAAGCGCTATCGTTGTTCGAGAACGTCGACAATCACCATAAAAAAATTAAACAAATATTTTTTCCTATAAACAGGGAAAATAATATGTATATATATATAACATATTATCGTTCGTCGCACGGTTTATGTCAAAATTGAGATCTCCAATCTAATTTAAATATCTATATAATCTTTCTTCAGAAAATTAAAAACAATGGAAAATTACAGTTACAATCTCCTCGGAAAGCAATAAAAAAAGGAGGAAAAAATCAAGACTATTTATGCGCGTCATCAGGTTAAAAATTCCTCTCTGCTTTTGCTGGTCGATTTGTGTACTATTTTGCAATATATATATATAATACTTTACCTCATACATAAGATCATTATAACAAAGATTAAAATAGCAATAAAATAAATAAATTAGCTTTAAGACGCATTAGAAACGCAACGTAGGATTCAGGCATGCGTCCTTCGCCTTTTTCAATTTGGGAATTACAATAATGTTTTGTCGTGGTACGATCCTATACTATGTTTCGTGAAAATGACGTGAGCTTAGCTGACACAGATAACACTAGGTTACCTCACCATCCACTCTGTCATTCTTCGATGGCTGCTTGTTTTCTATATATAGCGACTGGTTGTTGAAAATATTTCTGTGTCACATAGCAAATTTATTTTAATTTATAAGCTTGAATGTATGACTTCTATAGTTGAAGTGATTTCTTAGGAGATACGTAAGATATGTTAGGAGCGCGCAGCGGAAGTCTCATACCTAATTGAACTGATTTCTTTGGAGATATATAAGATGTGTTGGGAGCGCGCAAAAGAAGTCCGATACCTTCACTCAGGAAAGATCGTCAAGAGGGAGCGCAAGTTCGAACCCGTCAATATATCAAGTTGGACCGATATTTATTTAAAAGCTTAAACCCATGAGTTATGAACCAATTTAGATATATTAATTGCTCCATATCACATCAATTTTTCAACGTGGGACTTTCGAACACAACTCACACGCAAATCCTAACAATCTCCTCTCACGTGTGAATTCAGTGTTAGGCTACTCCCCCTTAATCTAGGTTTCTTTTTTATCAAGATATCTCGACTTCAATTTTCATCAACACTCAACTTCATCCCTAGTTTTCTTCTTCAAACCAATAAACAATGAAGTATGCTGTCAGGCCCGCATTGCTACACCACAACGCCCAACACAAAGAAACTGCGTTGGTCGCCCAATTCTTTCCTCGAGATATTCACCAAATATCGACACCAATCAACCATCGGCTCTAATACCATTTGTTGGGAGCGCGCAACAGAAGCCCGATACCTTCACCCGAGATTATCGCTAAAAGGAAGCTCAAGTTTGAGCCCGGCAACATATCCAGTTTGACCCACCTTCACTCAAAAATTTAAATGTATGAGTTATTGATCAACTTGGATATATTAATCGTTCCACACCACATCAATTTTTCAACATGAGACTTTTTAACACAACTTACACGTGTATTATAACGAGATGTGACATGACCCTCATAACGTACAAGTTTCTTAATTTACAACATGAGTTAGCAATAGTATGACTTGCAATTGATCTTTCGCTCGTCTAGATTATTGCATAATAAGTGGTAGCATCGACGAGGTTAAACCTGTATTTGAAATTACACATTCCAAGATTCTAAAGATGGCCTTTATGAAATTGACATGCTCGAAATAGAATGCTAAGCTCATTTCGCATCGCTCGACCGGACTTTCTGTTGGTAATTCCATGGTGCAACGATCCTTTCGTTGTAGATATTACTTGTCGTTAGAGTTATCAAGTGAGGGTTCTCGAATTCAACGGGCTGGATTTAGTCCATTGTTTAAACGCTTCTTCAGCAAGAAAATTAATCATGGTGATTATTGTGAGTTAATCATGTCATTAATGTAATGATCTAAACGAATTTGGAAACGGAAAAACCCTAGTGGCCTCGATCGGTTGGGCCAGCTCATGAAAACACTAGCTCTTTTGGACGAAAGATGGGCTTCCAGTGTGCCTAACGTTGGGGGAGATCCACAAAGGCATTATGCTCCAATAACAAAAAAATTGCATGAGTAAGATCCACAGAGTCATTAAGAGAAATGAACTCTCATTACATAAGGACTCAAATTCAAGTTCGGAAAATATGAGAAATTTAAAGAATCAAATTATAGTTATCTCGGTTACTTTTTTATTTTATATGATGTCGCCTCTTGTTTGATAGCGTTGGATTATTATTATTCATCATTTATACAGGTGTTCATGAATTCTTTTCTTCTGAAAATCTAAAAGTCAAATCGGTTTCCAAGTTTGCTTTTTATTGTGATACATTGGATGTGACACATTAATGCTAGTAAAAAGCTTTTGAACAGAGGCATCATTTGTTACTATCTTGATGCAAATATTTGTTTCCTTGTCGATACTATTATACAGTATTGAAATGTCACATGATATAAGTATCGTGTGAGAAGATTTTACTTTTGTGAAGGAATGACTGTCCATTTCCGACATAGCCATCTCAATTCTTTCCTCTATTTCTATTCTCTTGATTTTGGTATACTCCTCAAGTTGGTAGTTGGCTCGAGCATCTAAAAATTTCTAGTTCAAGAAATGGAGGTCATAACCCGTTCAATCTCACCAATTATGTGAAAGCTGCTTTGAATCGGGATCACCTGCATATGTTAAAAGGCCTTAGCTTGACTAGCTCATGGAACTTGCGGTTGCTTTATGGGCCTTCCGATAGCGAGCCTATATGTTCATTCGCGGAGTTATAAAAAGAATGCTTTTAGATAAATGGTATTAGATACAAGTATAAAAAGGCAAGAAATTATGCCTCAAAAACAAGTAAGATAGGATTTTTTTAGTGCCATAACTCCTCTCTTGTGCAAGAACGAAGAGTGGCACGTGAAATTAAAGAACGAGAAATAAGGTGCATAAAAATTTACGTGGGGAAACTTTGCCTTGAGCCATATGATCAAGACCTCATTTAAAGATTTAAAGTTGTTAAACAAAGGCCAGCAACAGCACCACTATTAATCGATGTGAGCGTTACAGAACTTCCATAAAAGTTTAGATGAGACGGGAAAATTCGAGACAATGCAAATGACGAAAAGCCAAGACGAGACCCGATTGGTTTCAGCCGCACTGAATCGTAGTATGTCTCAAGCGAAACTTGCATGATCTATTCGTTGGCACCGCCCCCGAGCGCACGTGCGAGCACAGCGTGGGGGAGGGGGCGGCGTGCACGAGAGTGAAAAGTAGTGGAGGGTGTTGGATTGATGAGATCTAGCGCACACGAGAGTTGGTTAGGTCCCTCACATGATCCTCGAATCTCACAGCTAATTTATCTCCTTCCAACTTTTCAACGACGGCGACAACTCTTTTGATCTCAGCCTTCCTTTATGTCTCCTTCCTCTTTGTACTGTATCTCATCTCTCCTTACATTAAGAAACACCCACAAACGCAACTCTCTTTTTCATCCCCAAACTTCATTAATCCTATCTAGATTCATAAATTGTATATGTAGGTTTGTCGTCGACGTATAATACTTAATTAGAAATATCATACAATGTGGATGTACACGCATCTTTGTCGAACATGCGAATAATCAAGAATCAAATCACTTCGTTAAGCATGCATCCTTAAATTTTGTAAAGGTATCAGCTCAGATATAGTGAATCATCATAGACAAAAAGGAGGGCTGTTGAAATATTTTCAGTACAAGAATGGTAAATACTACTAAAATGGTATGGCAATGACGTTATAGAAGTTAAGTACCACAATCTAGAGTTTCATTCTTTTCGCCGTAAAAATCAATTTTATCTTCCGTGCATGTATTATCTTTCATTCTTTCTTACTATACCACAATCTAGGGTTTCATAGTTTTCGCTGTAAAAATCTAAAAGCATGATTGATCATCATGGTCATTGCCAACAGCTTGTTCGATAACATGGCTCAGTTTATTTTATAGATCTATCTCTCTCTATGCATTCATACAAATATATTATCCAATCTCAGTGAGGTTATCTATGGTGGACCGTCGTAAAATACAACTTACATATAAGGTTGATGATTGGTCATTATTCGGTCAATGGACGGGACTGTCATCATCTCACTCGCTTTAATCAATAAAATAACTTAGATCTTTAATTTAATATACCAACAAGAAATGACAAAGCAATAGAGCATCACCTCGGGGCCCTAGGCTGACTACAATAATATGGGCCAACGCAGCTATAATTGAACGATTCCCCATCGTCGTGTTCCCGAAGCAAACTATATAATAACCAAAATAAGCTGCATGGGCAGGCAAATTTTCCTGTTATAGCTATGCCTGCGGTCCAACCCCAACCCATTAATATTCCATCGTTTGATAAACTAATTTAATCACACTTTCCTAAGTTAAAAAGAGAGGAAAAGAGGAGACAAGCCAGCAGACGAGTTTTGTAAATAAATGCAGTCCACGGGTGTACCTGTCCGGAAAACAGAAGCCCTAACCATCTCCGCCATAAAGGTTTTGTGTCCTCCCTCTTCGTCGTCTTCTTCCTCCTCTATTCTTGCATGCTAAGTCTTCTTTGCTCCGATCTCGCACCGAGCATCACTGAAAAGCACAGGCGAGGCGTCGGAAAGAAGTCGGCGAGTGGACGGAGAGAGAGAGAAGTGATAAAGATTCGAGTATGGAGCCGAACCGGAGCCGGAGCCGGAATCCGAACCCCCCTCAAGGGCTAACCCCGGAGGAGCTCGCGGAGCTCGACTCCGTCATCCGGACCTACCACAGGTTTGAGCCCTCGCCGAACACGTGCACGTCCCTCATCACCCAGAAGATCGAGGCCCCCGCCCGGCACGTCTGGCCCTTGGTCCGCGGCTTCGACAACCCGCAGCGGTACAAGCACTTCATCAAGAGCTGCCACATGCGGAGCGGCAGCGGCGGCGGCGACAGCGACGGCTCCGTGCGCGTCGGGTGCGTGAGGGAAGTCACGGTCGTGTCGGGCCTCCCGGCATCGACGAGCACCGAGCGGCTCGAGATCCTGGACGACGAGCGGCACGTCCTGAGCTTCCGGGTCGTCGGGGGCGAGCACCGGCTGAACAACTACCGGTCGGTGACGTCGGTGAACGAGTTCGAGAGGGAAGGGAAGGTGAACACGGTGGTGTTGGAGTCGTACGTCGTGGACATTCCTGAGGGCAACACGGGCGAAGATACTAAGATGTTCGTCGACACCGTGATAAAGCTGAATCTCCAGAAGCTCGCGGTTGTATCCATGGCTTCTATGCATGGAGGGCACGGTTGATATTGCCGTCGACTACATGTGGCTCGCGCCGACGAGACGGCGAATTTATTAGGTGAAATTCTTGTCTAGACCCGATTCCGCCCCAAGATGAGGGGTCGATCGCTAATAGGGTTTTTCTTTTTCTCTTTTGTGATCGGACGGCCGTGATTAGTTTGGGTACATGGTGTATTGAGGTTTACTTGCTTCCATGCGAAGTATAAATGTTTGCTTGAGAAGGAGAGACCTAAGTTAAGTATGCTAGTAGCGATCGATGCTTTTCTTTTCTTGGATTTCTATGAGATGTTGAAAGATAGAACATTTCTGCAAAGCTGACTTATTTTGCACTTATTTTCAAAAGTTAAAGATCTTGAGTAAGAGCTTGAAATTGAAGTCTCTCTCTCTTTCTAGCATCGACTCCTTTTGCCATCCTGTGGTTTTAGTCATTTCCATGGCTATGGGCCATTAGGATTCTCTGATGTACATTGACTTGTGCATTGGCTGCTCTGCCACTTTGTGCCTTGTTAGTCTCAGTTTCCCACCTCAGTTTCCGTGCACTCAAGTTTGAAAAGAGTGTGAAATGAGAGTCAAAAGCCTTAGCTCTGTTTCGTGCTCTCTTTGGGTTCTGATTACGTGAAACCTACGATCTTGATTGCATCGGATTCTTTCACTTTGGGTCAAGGTAAGAATACTCTCTCTCCATAGTACTCAATTCGAGCCATAGGATTATATATTTTCCTCCGTTCCTTGGATATTACTCTGACCAAACTTTTGACTTTTTTGCATTGGACGTATGGGTGTTACCCGCATGCGTGTTTTTTTCATTAAATTCTAGATTTGGATGATGCCCGCATTTGTGAAACACAAACTGCGAGCTGGTTTGAGGGAAATATAGCCCCGTGAGTGAATATACTCGCGATATTTTGGATACACAAGGACCCGACCTAGTAATGTTGGTGAGGGCCTGACACGACTCGACGGCCTCTATGAGTCAGAAGCTTGAGTGATACATACTCTTCTTTCCAATTTCTGAGAGGGTTGTCTTCAAGTACCTCACCAAATGAAAGGAGCCGAAGCTCCGACATAGCTCTCCACGGTCTATCCATTTGCATGTAATGACGGCGGGGTTCATAGATACGTTCCTTATTTTAACGTGTCGATGCCCGCGCCCTACCCCTTAAAATCTCCATGTATCTTATGTCTTTCCCATGGAGAAGGCTCCTGATGATCCCAAGATTCGAGCAAGAATCGAGATGGAGCCTTCTAAGGACCTACTCAAGTCCAATCTTGAAATGCTTTTGTATTCATTAAAGGGATAATGACACAAACAGTCCTTAAACTTTGGCCCAATGTGCAACATGATTCCTAAACTTTTAATTTGTTTAATGTAATCCCTAAACTTCAACCTGATATTCAATATGGACCTTGAATTTTTTGTACATATTCAATGTAGTCCCTGAACTATATAAAAATCTTATATAGTTCAAAAAATTTAGAGATGGCATTTAACAAATTAAAAGTTTAGGGACCACATTACACATTAGATTAAAAATTCAGAGATCACATAGCACATTGAGCAAAAATTCATGAACTATATATGTCATTTTTCCTTCATCGAAATGGTTCCAGCAAACGAGTGAGGGAGATAGAGAGAGATGGATAGTAGGTGGGCAATTGGTTGCTCGTGAGGCTTTCGATCTCAAGCACGAGATACACAAATTCAACATCGAGGGGATGAGGCTCTCTCCATAGGGAAACTTGTGACCGTGCTTAAAGGGGAACATGTGACCTCGAAGCCTCATCATAATCGACCTTTTCAGCACGTCAACTTATCTTATCCACTCACTTATCACTTTCAAGAGGACTTTCTGCTGTACGCCTCTGTCCTCCTCCATTTACTGTCATCTTCTTCTTCTCTGCGGCGAGCCCAATCACGACTTTTTCTACGGCGGCTTCCACCCATTGAATGCATGTTTTGGCAGCTGTATATCTTATACATGAATGCTGATAGATCACAAAACCTTCGACTTCTCTATGGTCTACACATATGTCGCTTATCAAAAGCCGACATCTGACTTTAATGAACCTGAGGGTCCGTTTCTTGAAAGGAAATTATTTTTAGATTTTTGGGCATTTGGACAATAGAAAATTAATCAATCTACGAAAAATATTTTCATTAGCTAAAATCAACGATGTTAGACATGAAAGAAATGACTTCTCCTTCTGGCACGAAAAAAATCACTTTTTCAAAAAAAAAATCAGCGAAACAAAAGCACCCTAAAAGTAATGCCGGATGTTGTTTGACTGCTAGTGGAAAAACCAGTGTCTATCACAGAGTAGCAATGTAACGGCGACAGATCGGTCTTCCTGACAATTAAACGACGCAGGCTTTAATTCTTCACGCTCGCTCATCTCTCGATCTCCTCATGCACCGGGATGGGGCGACCCGCACGTCTCGGAAGATTTCGCCGGCTCACGAACCTATATAATGTGTCGCGGGATAGGTTTCCTAGGAAAAAAGAGAACAAAAGAGAAGAAACTTGGTCGTTGCTCTCTAATGTTCACCCTTCATCAATGATGAAAATGTTCACAAAGACACAGGCCTTCTATGGGCATTTTGGTTGACCGAGACTTGGGCCTGTTATCGGGTCAGAAATTGGGCCGAGAGCACACGTGTTGATTGATATGGACCGGGCGCCCGATGAGATCCAACGGGTCGGGTCAAAAGGAAAAAAGCGCACACGAGGGAAATTCACATAACAATAGGACTCCAAGGTGCTGAATTTATTATTGTAATAACTTCGACCATATTTTGTATTTACTAATATTTAAAGTCCTAAATTATAACGGTCTTCACGCAATAAAGATTGCCGATTTAACGTTTTGAGTTTTGATTTGCAGCTATAAGAAAAGGTGATAATTCGGAAAAGTTTTTATCTAATTACTGTGTTTTAATTTATCAGTTACATGATTTAATTAAAGTTTTAAATCGCAAAATGTGCGAGTTTTATATTCATTAGTTAAGTATATTCATTGTGTATGAGATTGTTAAGTTTACAATTATAAATTTGTTTGGATTATTTTCAATTTTTTTAGACCATGTTGTACAGATTTATTTTTCTTTGATTTATTATTTCTCGAGTGCTAAGGGAAATAGTTATTTGTACTTTTGATGTGGAGATTTAGTTTTTTTGGTATATTCCAACACGTCGCTAATGACAGAGGCATGCATGTCAAGTTAATGCGAAATTTGACCAAACCTTCACTTCACGTGTTCTTGTTCATGAGCCAGTGCCAACTTAAAGTTATATCATTAATTAAATCTATCTGAACATGATCCATTTAATAATTGTGTCAGAAAATTCAAATCCGAGCATGACTTATATACGAAACAGGTATCAGAACATGATCGATATAAGTGGGTAAATGGGTCAAATCGGGTCAACCCAGTCCAAATGTGGCCAAAAAAATTCTGAATAAGATCTTTGAAATTAAAGTTAAGTTTCATAACTCTTTTCACAAAATTGACATGCTTAATTTTAGTTTCAACACGGTCGTAGACAAAAATCAATACAATTATGAACATTTTTCTTACTTAATCCGTAGAAAAATTTGTTGTTCATTCTAAACAACCTAGAAGAAATTGACAAGTGATGTATTTATTCACTTATATCATAGTCATTACTACTAATAAGTAGAAAACCATAGCTAATTTTATTCAAATTGGTAAGTTTTCCCTTATACTATGGAGCAATAATTTTAAAGAGAAAAGATTTTGATTTTCGATAAAATTAATTATATGAGAAACGTTCATCCATTTCGTTTTAATTACATGAGAGAAGCCCATCTATTTCCTCTAATGATACATATGTTTCTCGAAAAATAAATGAAATGATTGTTCGCCTCGCTCGTAAAAACGAACGAACGAAAATTATTTTTACTGTTTAGAAGAAAAAGATTGTTTTTGGATTATTTTTTTTCACCACCATTTTTATTTATTATAAAGGAACACAGGACATGGACAGGATCGAAAATCTTCTGCAACCTGAAATAACTATTTCATCATCATGAGGAAAATCTCACTCCCCTCCCTCCCGAGTTAAGTCCTCATAATTTCTGATACACTTGAACAACAATGAATGCACCACTCAGAGTTTTCCCACTGATGAAAATTGTCCCATGCAAAAGTTAGATAGCGCACGTTAATTGATCCCCATAAGTTCGTCAAAGATCTTCTCACCAGAGATTTTCTCTCTCACCATCCTTTGCATCCTTTTGCTTGCATCATCATCTTTCTGATCCATCTCCCTCACTGCATATCACTCCAAAAAGTACAGCTGCTGAAACTACAGAGCTTTCTTCTTCTTCTTTTTCTCTTTTTCTTTTGTGGGTGTTTTTCTTTTTCTGTTTTTTGTTTTGTTTTGTTTTTTTTGCCTTTGATGGGTTTGGCTGTTCGGTTCAGAGGAGAATGCATGAGACTTTCGTTACCCCATTCCCTCACCTTTCTCATCAGCATTGGGTTTGTTGTCAAAAATAGCTAAAAAAGCAAAGGACTTTCTCTTTTTTCTCTGGGGAGGGTTAAAACAGAGAGATAGAGAGGGGATGGTGGGTGATGCTGAGAGGACCTGGCATGAACAGGAGTTGGAACAGAGAGAATCCAGATATTTTGATTGCGATGATTGCAGGAAGAGAGAGAGAGAGACATGATGCAGCAGACAATGAAGGGTTGTGAGGACGACAAAGTTGATCAGAGCAAGGCTGTGATAGCAAATGGGCCCTCCAAAGCCTGCAACGCATATGAGTGCTTACTGCAACCACACAGTAATCTCTCTCTCTGTGTCCAGTCTCTGTGAGAGTGTGTTTAGTAAATGGGTCCATTTCATTCAACCCCGGTGCAGCAGCCTGCTTTTGGACTTTTTGACACTCTTTTTCTTCCTTTTTAAGGGGCTATCTGAGATTGAGTGTTTGTATAATTCAAAGACACCCATTGTGCTTTTGGCTTGTATTTTTGTGGGCAGGGGGGAAAAAGATTCATCCTTAATGGCATAGAGGCTCTCGATCCTTTGTTTCTTGGGGTTTGGGTTTTTCAGGAAATCCTACTTCTCCCTCCATGCAAAGATTGCATTTTTAAAAGGAAAAACAACCGCACTTTTTGTATGTTTCTTTTTCATCTTGTGGTGTTTGAGAAGCGGTGGGGGGTGTGAACTTCTCTGCTCAGGTACAATTTATGTTCTCTCTTTGACCACTTTTCTGTTAATAAAGGGAAAAAAAAAGTTTCACCGCCTGTGGTCTCAGATTGTGCTTTTTTTTCCTAGGGAGAAAGGAAGGGGAGGCCAATAATTTCATATGAAGTAGTGAAAAATTTGCATTGCTGGGACTTGTTTTAGATTCCATGAAGTTAGCACCCATATAATGTCGATCAGTAAAATACAAACAACTTTTTGGTGGGAAATACTGGTACAAGCTAAGAATGGGGAATTATCTGTGAAACTTAATAAGATCTTTACACATGTTGGTGTTCTGCTTGTGATCAGGCCTCAGGGGGACATGCATCCTCAACTTCATTCTTCTGCTCTTGGGTCATGGAGATAGCTACTCTGCAAGCTAATTGGAGGTTTGTCATGGTGAAGCTCTATACCTGCTTGCTTTGAATTTAATGTCAGTTTGACTTGACAGTGTGTTCTTCACTTCTGGGCACTTGTGACTGCTCTAAATTCTGGTTTCTGCTTCCTGCATTTTTTTCAATTTACCGTTATTTTAAGAGAGGAAAAACTAGAAGAGAGCTAAAAGATGAGTAATGTTTTGCTGTTTCTCACTTGTTTTGCATGAAAGACACTTTCTCACTCCTTTTCTTGGTTTTTTGAGGCGATTTGATCGATGGAAATACTCGGCTCAACTTTCTAACTTTGAATTGGAAGAGCATCAAATGGGATATTTGAGTGTGCGATGATCTCTCTACAACCACAATACGTGATCTGCACAATCCCATCTGATGGGTTAAATGGTTATGATGTCATGTTGCATCCTCCACATTATTATGTAATCAAAGTGACACTGATGTTTTTCAGGGAAATGAACTTTGAGATAAGTTGAATATCTTCATGAGCCAAGTTTTTGCATGAAGAAAAGGGTCCGAACAGGTTGGGACCTACCTCATCTTCATGAGCCAAGTTACGTGAGATCCTGGGATTGAAGATTTCCGACTCACCTTGTCGGAGTTGTGACGTGTTGAGATTGCAATGGAGCATAATTTGTTTGATGTTTCAGTAGATATATCGAACCGAGCCTCTTTCTTGCTGGATGGTGTTTCGGCACACGCATCCGCAAGCTCCTTCCCACAGTCGGATTCACTCAACAAGAATAACTCAGACCACACGGTCGGGTTTCCAATACATTCGAACATTCATGGAGAATCGATTAGTGATCTACAAGCTGGAATAACCAGTTCACAGTTTATTTCTGATGCATCAGTTCCGTTTCTTGGGATCGATGTCATTCGGAATGCTTCTGACTTCAATGGAGCAATACCTATTTCTGCTGCTTCTTTTCCTGCAATTTTGGCCCCAAGAAGGGATCTCCAAGAAAATATAAATGGCTTGCCAATTTCATTGCCATCAATCGATCTGTTAGAAGTTGGGAATATACCAAATGATGACTCTAATGCTTCACATACGTCATTTGGAACTTGCAGCTATGATGAACCAGCCAGCCCATGTAAGTGGAATGCTAACAGGTTTCAATCAAGAACTGTATGTCCACCTTATTCTGGTGCCCGAAACACAAATACCGTCGGATGGATATCATCCGGGAACCTAAATATACATATGGGCCATGCTTATTTTCCCTCTAATTCCAGTAATGAGCTCTCGTTGAGCCTTGCCTCATCGAAGTCTTCGATCATTAATTTTCCGAATATCTCCGATCGGTGCTCAGAGATGAGCAATGCTGGTGCGAGTCACCAGTTTTCAAATGAAAGAAGAGCATACAAATCAGACCAAAATTCCTGCAACAGTAAGGAGCTTTCTCTATGTTCTGCTTCTTACGGGCCACCTCAGTTGTCACAGCTCATAGCCGGATCGAAGTACTTGACTGGCATTCAGGAAATTCTTGCTCAGATAGCAAGCTATTCGCTGGAAAATCTAAACAAGGTCAGTTATGTAAGTAGCGGGATCGGGAGTGGGACTAGCAAGTCGCCGTTCTCATCAAACTGTCATGTTGATGAAGGACAAGAACTTGAAGTTTTTGGCCAGCGACAAGAAGTTGAAGCTAGGAAAGCCCAGTTGTTGACTCTGCTGCAAGTGGTATGTTGATCTAACTCGGTCTATGATTAGGTTTTCGGGGTAGACACTAGCGGGATATATCATACACATTAGAGTACTTGGTAGGACATCACGTAAAGCCTTAAAATAAAAGATGAAAATGATGCTCTTGAAAATGCATTCTAGCTCAATAATTTGAAGGTTGATTCAGGTACAATATATGTCAGGCTGATTTACCCTTTTGTAAGTAGATGTCACCGTTTATTGTAATGCAACCGTCCGATCACAGATCTCCATTTCTGTAAATTTATGCCACGACGACAAGAATTTGAAATTCCATCTCTTTAAGCTGTTAGTATAATACACCATGAGTGATTCAGTGCAGCATCTCTGGACATCAACTAGTATGTTACTTAGTTGAAGTGTGGACTTTGATAGTGACGTTGCCTCAGGTTGACGACCGGTACAACCAATGCTTGGACGAGATCCACACGGTGATATCTGCATTTCACGCAGCGACTGAACTGGACCCGAAGATACACACCCGCTTTGCACTTCACACCATCTCGATTCTGTACAAGAACCTCAGAGAGAGGATCAGCAACTATATTCTCGCAATGGGGGAAGATTTCGGCCACTCGAGCACGGGAGATCGGGAAAGATCTTTTGAGGCCTCATTCATACAAAGGCAGTGGGCACTCCAGCAGCTCAAAAGGAAAGACCAACAGTTATGGAGACCCCAGAGGGGCCTACCGGAAAAGTCTGTCTCGGTGCTACGGGCCTGGATGTTTCAAAACTTTCTTCACCCGTGAGTCCTTTCTCTTCAGAGTACTTTTTTAATTTTTTGGACTGGAATTCACAAAAATGTTCGGTAACTAGGAAATTTTGTTTGTTCATGGAGATTATGCTAAGCACTCGACAAAATTTAGGTATCCAAAGGATGCGGAGAAGCATTTACTTGCACTCAAAAGCGGACTGACAAGAAGCCAAGTAGTCTTTCTCTTTCACCCTCTTAATTGAAGTTATACTGGGAATCTGCTGGCTCTTAGTTCCAGCCGATTTGAAGTAGTGTGTGCTTTGGTCTCCCTCTTTCCCTGAATGCGATGCTTTATTCGGGTTATGAACAGGTATCCAATTGGTTTATCAACGCACGTGTCCGTCTTTGGAAACCAATGATTGAGGAAATGTATTCCGAGATGAATCGAAGGAAGGCTCATCACAATGAGGATGGAAGCAGTGGTGCTAACCATATCCAGAGGAGCATCAGCATCCAAAAGCTCCACATGAATTAATATTGAGACGCAAGGTAAGAGCGTGAATCGAGTACTTACAGACCATCTTGCATCGAAAACATATCGTCAACAATTTTTCGGTCGTGCATCTTCCGTGCCTTAGGAGTTACCCCGGGCAAATTATACTGTGTTTACTTATCCATTGTGTTCACTTATTGCAGGATAATTAGAGGGAAGCTTCTCGACACAATCTAATTGAAAAGGCTCTGGTTCGGCAGCTACGCCGATCTGAAGGAGCAATTGCATTTGCTTAAGTGGTAATTGATCATAAAAAACGCCTTTTGGATTTAGTCATGTATCAGAGCAGCAATGTATGAAAGGTATAAGCCGGTGATCCGCATAACATGTTCGCCTGCTGGAAGATATCACAATCAAGACTTTGTCAACTTGAAAGATGTGTACATCCGGCATCGGACTGAGAAGGCAATGGCGAAGTCGGGAGTTTCCAACCAAAACGCACCCGATTCCGTGGCTTTGCGACATCTCCTCCGATCACATGAGAGGGAAGTGAATCACCTTACTCTATTGGTAACTTTTTTGAGTCCCCAAGTGCATGGACTTTTCAAGTGATGGGACAACGTAAGAACACTATGAATTGATGCCTTTTTGGAATGGTGGGATGATTAGAGAATCCTATGAATTTGATCAAAAGAGAAAGAGACCTCTTCTTTCTCCTTGTTAAATTTGGATGATACGACGTATGAAATAGACAGTATGGTGATGGTCCTCATCTAAAAAGAAGTGCAAATGAGCCGGCCATCTTTGTTGTGTTTATGATGTTAGTCATGCATACATGGTCTCAAATCAAATTTAGGCATGTCGAGATAAATGCCGGAAGCAGATGAGGAAACTTTCTCGGGACCATGAAGAATTGTTCGTGTAACAGATTTGATGGATGACAATTCTTGACCCCTAGAATGCCACAAATCGATAGAGCCGATCCAAGAAAAGAAGAAAACTCGAACTCGATCGATATGTGGCATCAAATCAAATGTATCGGCTCTTCGTTTTCTTGATAACCGACCTTAACGTGTGAGGAGGAGAAGTATTCATAGATAGCACTCCAGTTATCAATTTCTGCAGATCGAGTGATGGTCCCGTTAAAGGGACTAGACTAGGACTGGGAGGGGAAACTAGAAGGGTCGATGTCTATGGTTGCTGCAACGTTCCCATCTCGTATGTCGACCAAGGTTTCCACTACAGGGCGTGTTTTGTCTTTCGTGATGACTTCTGAACAGCAATACACTAAAGAATGTCCATAGTTACAAGACGGGAGCTTGTAATTGGGCCCGCCAAAGCTTATGCTTCACCACGACAAGTCACCGACGGTACGACATGGCGTTTGAGCATGAGCGAAATATCGGTAAATCTCAGATGATGCCATCTTGATTCTGACGTTTTTCTTTTTGTTCCTTCTCCATTTAGCCTCAATGCTAAATGACACCACGAAAATCACTTACTTTCTGAGAAAATGGAACTTTCAAGACCCAAACATCTCAGGACTTTAATGTTATGTTGTACACTAATGATGTAAAAAATCAGTTCCACGAGCAAAGTTCAGACAACCTTTATCGAGCAAATTCAAGCCGTGTGCGTACTGACATATAGATTCTACCGCCGCTTGTGCGAAAAGTTTAGACGGTTTCCACAAAATAAATCCTTCAAAATCTCATGTTCTATCAACAATGACATTACCTTCAGCAAGAAAAGTATGAGGATGAGATGAACCCGCGTAAAAACTCGTCGTGAAGAACCAGTTATTGCAATTTATTTGCTTGCCAAGATCCAGGTAAGTGATTATTCCAGAGATTTACAGATACTGAACCCCCCTCAACTATCGGTTATGCTTACAAATGAAAGAATCTCCTTTCTTCTTTCTTGCAAAATTTGCCTCCTGACTCTCCTTTCTCTTCTTTCTCTTTATCTACACTCTAGATCCTATACCATTACAGTCCAATTCAAAGGAAAATAGGTACTCTTGAAGTATGTAAATTACACAAAAAAAAAAAAAAAAGAAGCAAGACAGCAGCTTCGACTCCCATCTCCTTTCATACTTCCAGAGAGATCCGTGTTTTGATTGGTTTCAATTTCAAGCCCATGCTTTCGAGGGATAGAAGGTCCGGAGAAATGCACGAAGGACTCAAAGGGCTCCTCGGACTGACGCTTACTTTTGAAGCCTTGTACAGGCCATATCCCATGAGAAAATACTCGATTGGTATTAACATGGCATGAGGCTGCTCCTCAGTTACCATCGTCCCACATTCCTGAACCTATAAATCCCAGAAAGTTGGAAACATATCAAGTTTTAATCAGATCATTTTCAATGAATCCACCAGGCCGTGTCCCGAGAAAAGAGAGCCATTACATACCTCTACTAACGCGCTATATCTTCTATCCATCTTTGAAGTCATGTGAACAGCCTCCGAATGGAATGGAGAGTGCTCACCAATAAAGATAAGGGAGCGACATTGCAATTTTCTTAACCCTTCACTTAAATCTGGCCTCCTGCAAGACAACACTACAACTTCAGGCCCAATCAAAATGAATATGGAAGAGTTCTTGTCAAATTTCATTGAAATAGAAGTGATTAGTGCTTTTAGTCAATGTAATCAAATTTCTCGACAGTGTCTGCGGTACAATAAATTGAATTTTTTTTTCAGGGTAAATATTGTGAGCAAATGCTTGTTTTCCAGCCAAACTATAAGATAGGTCATACTCTAATCCTCCATGTTTTCACTGTAAATGAAAACACTGCATTCACAAACACTAAAAAGTTACTATCATTTTGTAGCTTTAATTTTGACAAAAACTTCCCTAACTTCCATTCTCCAACTGTTGCCGAATGCACTGACACGACTGTTTCATTCTAAAATGAAAGTGCAAATAGAAAAATTTAAAGAATTCTTGCAAACTAAATAGGACCCTTTTTCCATGACAGAATTCGCAAAGATGATACGACTTTCACCATAAGAACCGTGCCCTGTAGACATCTTATTCCATAGGGAGTGACCAAATTTTTTCATTATCCTTTTAACTTGTGCGTTCACTATATTCTGGGAGAGGAATGTTTCTCTTGATGAGGATTATACCCATTAATTGCCTCAAGAAAACGCCAAACGTTAGAACTCTGTCTCTCGTCCAGCAACTGCAAAATGAAACATGGATCCAACTGATATCAGACGAGCACTCATATTACAAGCACAACTATTGCAATAACACAAATCCACACTTCCAAATCAGTTGAGAGTTTATCATGAACAGAAAAGCAGAAGGCTGCAGGAGGACATACCCTTCTGCAGGCTTGAACTATGTCTGACTCTGGTACTTGAGCACAACCGCGCAACTCCTGTCTCCAACAGCAAATTCCATCGGCACATATAAGAAAGGGATCCAAAGCACCAGTGGAACGAACATAAAGACCAATATTACCTTGCTAAAATATCTCTTAAGCAGTAATTCTTTGACCACTCCACACATGCCATAGAAATAGAGTAAATTTGACATCACCTAAACAAGTTACAAGCTCCAAGTCAGAGAACCGAAAAAAATGTAACGTCAAGCAAAATTAGCAAGCGGATGGATAATTATACCTTATTTAACAACCATTCTGTCCATGACGGTGCTGTGCATAGAGGAGAAACAAGTATAAGACCAATAACCCGGTGCTTGTATTTCATCTGTCAATTTGAGGACACCGTTCAGGTTGAATATGAAAACCTTGAAAAGGGAAAATTTCCATATGCTACACAAAAGCATGCGTCTTACAGCAAACAGTGTTAGGATGTACGCTCCAGCCATAACCCCCATACACATCACAGCTCCAAGTCTGCAAGAGAAGCTTTCGAGTCAACTAAGATGGAGCAATAGCTATAGCCATTTCCTTCATAAAGCAAGCTGCCATTGGAAACTCGACATAGATGTAATTTATAATTACCCAAAGAAGTTGAGAACCTCAGCAACCTGATCTGCCAAGTCATCAACAGAGGGAACAGGATCGTCGGGGCTCATAGTGACAGCTCCTAACTGCAATGCCTCTTGAAAACTTTCCGAAATAAGAAACGGTGTGAATCATGGCATTCAAAGGAACATAAACCAGGGAAAGCCATGCATAAATCCATCCAGACGGTACCAGTGATTTGTCACACACCTCGTGCCCGGGAGGGCTAATGTGATATATACAAAAGTTGTGGAGCAGTAGAGAATATGCTTCTGGGCAGGAGAAAAGTCCTTGGAAACAAGACATATCTGCAAAGAACAAGGAAGAGAACAATGTCCACTTAGCCCTTTGATAATACTACGGTATGCCAGAATGCTAAGCCACAAAAATTTGGCCGAAATGCAGATGGCAAGTACACCATCACAGTTCTTCTAATTTCTGGCATCTGTAACTTTGTGGCAAAATTTGAAAGAATGGAAATTGTATCGTTTAGAAAAGGCTGGATAAGATCATGAAGTACCCCTATTTTCCAGGGACTTTGATTCTTAAGCTATGTTTTCGTGCAAAATTGATTTCATTTTCAGGGACAACTGTGAAGATTTCGCGGAGTAATAGGTATTGACAATTCTTTTTCTTCTCAATCTAAGCTTTCTAAAAAGAGCTGCCCTCGCTGAATATGCGAAAACAATTTGAGAGAAAAGGGAGAGGATTTAACCAGACAGCAAAAAGAAAATTCTGTTTCACTTACAATTTAGTGCTAAATCAGGATAAGTCACGAGGGCTGGCTTGTCTGGATCCCCAAATACTGCAACTGACACAAGACCTTGACTGGTTTTTATTAGGTGCTCCTGAACATGAATATCCAAGAAATGATGTCAATGAAATAACCATCTCGCAGCAATGCATAAAAGAATTACAAAAGACGAGACAACGAAATTCAGCATGATGTGATGAGATCCCAGAGATGAAATAAAGAGACACTAGCCCTTATCTGGAGACTGATAAGCTATTCCTAAAGCTAGCAAGCTTTGTTTGCAAGTGCTTCGTGCAGAGGAAAACTTTTAAGCATACCCAAGTAGAGGATTATCTGTAACGTGAGGACTTCGCATGTAAAGCATGCTCCTTTCGAAGAAACGGAAATATATATAGTCTGCACCAACATTTAGGCAAGCTACGGCTATCATCCACCGGATGATGGGATTAGCAAAACTTTAAGCCCCAAAGCTCGATCATTTATTCTATTAACACCAGAATGGCATAAAGTGACACCAGCTCCTCACATTAGAGGAATTGCACCCCTAGAAAAGGGTAAAGCCACCGACAATCACATAACAACGCAAACAAGACAATCGAATAGCTCGGAAGTCATCCAATTTTCCACACCCGGAAGCCGCAAGCCGCCGTGACACCTCGAAGGGGCATGCTTCAATCAAAAGACTCAAGGTAAAGAGGCCACCATGCGCGTGCAACAGCTATATTCCTTGCTTTCATCCAAGCAAATCACCAAATCCACAGTTTTCAGAATCAGGAGTCCAGACCCACAAGTCAAAACTAATTCCGGACCCAAATGGCTCCCAGGAGCAAAATGCGCATCATCGATTATCCCTCTCGGAGAGCAATCTGGAAACTTGCACAATGATCTCTAACGCTCTCGGGGTGGAACTCCATAAAAAGATGATCCGCAGCGCCCAAAAAAAAAAAGAAACCAGCGGGAGAACAGAAAAATGCCACCAGAAAAGCGCACAGACAAAAGAAAAAAAAAAAGGAGCAGCAAAACAGGCGAAGCAAACGTAGGAAACCGAGACGACCACCACCACCATGCATCATCCTCGTCCCAAAAAGCAAATGGAAAACCCATCCCGCATTATCCCACAAAACCAAAACTTCCCGCGAACCCACACGCAGAAATGCGGCGAGAGCGGGGCTACCTTTCCTCGCGGGGAGTACATCTCCATGTCTAGCGACACCGAATCGCTCGAATCCGCCATCTCTCCACCCTCTCTCCCTCGCTCTCTTCTCCTCCTCCTCCTCCTTCTGCCGGGCGTACGTGTATTTCACTCAAATTGAGGACGCATTGGGCGAGGCGTCCACGGATTATATACCTGTCCCTTTCCCTCCTCCTCTCCTCCCTCCTCCCTCTCTCTCTCAAAAAGGGGCTTCCTTCCTACGCACCCCAGAGCTCTTCCCCCCCACCCACGAACTCGCCCGCGTTAACTCGGCCCCGAGTCACCGACGCTCGATCTCAGGAGAGAGAAGGAGAGAGAGCGAGAGAGAGAGAGAGAAAAGGACAGAGGAGAGAGAGAAGGGCCCCCCCTGCGGAAGGAGGATGTTGACCTGCGACCGCGGTTAGGACAACCTAACCACGGTTTAGACCGGGGGGAGGGGGGAGGGGGGGGGGGGGGGCCGACAGCTTCGTCCCGACCGTATTTACGGAAACGCCCCTGCTGAGCTGGACGGGGACCGTGGCGTGGATCCGCCCGGCGTGTCGGTACGTTTTTTTGATTCGGCGGGGATATTACGGGGCGCTTTTCGGGGAGTTAGTTTATACGGTTAATCGGGTTGACCTTTGACCCGTCTTTGGGCTGGGGGGTGATTAGGGGGGGCGATTAGGTTAGGGGGGGCACGGTAGAGCCAATCACGGGTCGTCCTGTGGGCCCACCGTACGGAGAAAAAAATCCGTATACACATAGACAGAAAAGAAAAAGCGTACGATGAGCCCACAGGACGACCCGTGATTGGCCCTACCGCGCCCCCCCTAATCACCCCCCAGCCCAAAAACGGGGCGCGATTAGATCGTGAGGAGATCGCTTGAGAGCGCCCGCTGATCTCATGCGGCCTGTTCCACGGCGAGTCGGGACCTGACCAAGTTGTCGGGAGCTGGGGGCGATGAGGTCTTTTTCCTCGTTTTCTCTCTTTCCGTTCAATAAAACGGGGCGTGATGTCTGATTATCGTACGATTCGCCGTATTTAAATGGCTTGCGGCTAGATTGCGTCGTCGTATTGCGAATTAATCACTGTACAATACCGTGGTCCGACCTAAATCTTCCCCTTTTCATCTTTGGTCTTTTTTTAATATCATAATTGAGTGATGAAGAGCTCTTGAGGTTTGAATTTCGTGGGCATCCATAGATTTATGGAGAATTTATTATTATTATTATTACGAATATTACTATTATCATTATTAATGTGTGTTTTTTTTTGACGATGCCAAGTCTGCCTCATAGAGGAAGCTGGATCCTTTAGTTGAGACATCCTCCATCCGGGTTAGATCCAAGCTTGGGGTCAATTTGAAGGCTAGCGCATCATTTTCGTGTGCTTAAGTTGGTACCTGTCATTGCCATTTACCAGACACTCCTCGTCCCATTTAATTAATCCCCCGCAAATCTTTCTCATTAATCCACCCCCAATTTAAATTAACGAAAACGTCCTTTTAAGCCGTAGAAAACAGGGCTTTTCGGCAAGATTTGATGTAATTGGCACACCAAGGACATCAATCCCAAGCCCGATTTGATCTTTGGTTTTTTTTTTTTTTATTATTATTTTATTCTTTCGTTTGCACACTATCCCGAGTTTCGTCTCGACCATCAATGATAGTCAATGCCCCCCGTCTTAATGAAGAGTGAGATTTTTTTTTCCCTCCCCGTTAGTCGACATCAATCTTTCACTCTTTTTACCAATTAACGAAGAATGAGACTCGCGGTCATAGCTTTAGTTGGAAGAACTTTTCGTTGATTGAGACTTGCCGGTGAAAGATGGCTAAAAGTATTAAGTTTTTGGGTATTGAAGATTATTTGATGACGACGAAGATGATTACTACTGGGGGCCGGCCAAATAGGCCTCGCTTTCTAGCGCGAGAGCCCAATCAAGAGCGACCAGGTATTCGAAAGTCGACGGTGCATGCGCGAGTTAGGAATCGTAATTGTTTGATGGCGAATGTAGGCATTTGGATTTATGAAAACACTTACAGAATCCTACCGAATCGTCGTTAATACCAAGCAGATTCCGATCGTAACGCTAGGACTTCGCGGCATCTTTTAAGTTGGTTCGGGAACATTGTCTCGTTTGTTACAATAGTAACACATTTATCAAGAAAAGCCAAGTCATGATGGACACTAACCACAATCATTAGCCTTCTTGTAGAGTTTTTCACCCAGCTTCTCTGCAAAAGGTCCACGTTTTGGGGATGTGGTTACTGGTAACTACCCCCATTTCATTTAATCACGACATAAAGGTCCAACGCACATCTCGGAATGAACCCGCCACCTACTTCGACAAGAGATTGATTTTCATCTCCTTTAACCTAACTTTGCAACCACTGCCGAAGAAATTATTATTGCCGCGGAAACTAATTGCATTTCTCGTATTTAATCACTTCGAAACATTGCCTAATTCAAAAAATAAGCACAGACTTTACCTTAAATAACAATTACGGCCCAAACCTTTTTTTTTGTCACGTAAAAAATTATCAAGCTTTCACTTAAATCTCAAATATAACCCGAACAATTTGAAAATTTCATATCACGGGAGCCAAATTTGAGACTAGAGTAAAAATTGGTACTTTCTATTTAGACCAAAAAAAAAAGTTGAAGCCAGAATTATTACTCACGGTAAAATTGATGCATTCTTTTGGAATTAGCCCTTCGAAACACTTTGGAAATTGTGGGATTTATGCTCCATCAAACTCCTTTTTGTCGGGCTTAATTTGGGAGTGAGTGGAAGGTGATTTTACTAATTAGGGAGGCTAAAAATTCAATCTTTTTTTCTGGGGGGGGTGGGTGAAGCTCAAAATTGGGACAGACATTGTAGGGCCGTATGTCACGGAGGAGACAAGGAAAGGAATCGAGTGCCTTAAATTCAACGTGGTGCACGTGGGGAAAATTTTTCACCCTGCTCGAGAAAAGCGTGAAAGAGACTTTCGTGCGCGACCTCCATAACCCCATTGCCACCAAACCCATGATTGTCCTCTTTGGCATTTGCATTAGCGAAGCATTGTTGACCAAGAACATCACCGACACCATGCACGCGCATCACCCATCTAGGGTTTCGCGACTCTCTCTAAACGTCACGAAGCAGAAATCGGTTCGACGTATCGCGATGTCGATAGGCACGTGCCTGTGCCCGAGTAATCATTCACGCGCCGTGACGACAGAAGGCGTAGGACTGCGAGCGCAATGTGAATGCGCGCAGATTTGCGCGGCCTGTATGGCTAATCCCTCCATCGGATGGCTCTGTGATTCCCGAAATCGAGTTTTAAGTTCAAAATAAGATGTCTATGTTCATTTACTGTTCCCCTAACTATAGTGTTGAGTCGGTTTAAGAGCCCGATTAGTCGTCACGACGTATATCGATCTTTTAGTTTAAGCCCATTTGTGTGGCTACCTTAAAATACTCCGTGTACCAATTTAGATCTTGTCCACAATTTGCTGCCTTGAGAAGTCGTCTTTATCTTCTTGATTCCAACCCGTTTTTCCCGTGTGTGTCTTTTGCCTTCACGATCACGGACCTTTTCGCCCTTTTTGCATCTTGTTTCTATTCCTTCGCCCCTTTACCCTTTTGTCCCTCTCAAATGCTTTTTCTCGATCCGAAGAAGTGGAAAGTGTCGGTCGTGTGATTTCCACCATAAACAACCTATTAAGCAAGCTCAAGGGTCCAGCCAAACCACAACCATTTTCACCTTCAGTCATTAAGGTCTTGTTGGGATCATCGTGCTTATGCATTCCTTCGAGCCAGTTTCGAGATCTAGGACATGGTATGTAAGGCGAAGGAGTCGTCGTACTCGGAAAAGATTAGTCGAGTTTTTGGCAAGATCTCGGACCCACTATCCTGAAGGAGAAAAGAGAAAGATATAGAAGCGCGGAGCATAGTACATTGAACAAATAATTAATGGGGCAAACTATGAAGAAATAACGGGATAAACGTTCAAAGAATTCGTAAATTTATTGTACGGCGACCTATTCGATCATAAACCATTCAATTATGCCAATTCAGTCCTAAACATTTTGATGATTTGCTAACGTAGTCATTCTTGCTAATTTTTATTGAAAATTGCTGACGTGGAAGCCAACCGTTCTACATGGCATGGCCAGTGCTGACATAAATAATTTTGCAAATTTTACGATTTTTTTTTTTGCTTTTCTTTTCTTTCATTTTTCATTTCGTTTTTTTTTTTGCCACTGTTAAGGGCTAGAGGGGGGCAGGGGCTTGTGAGCCCTTGTCGGTGAGATCCGGCGTCAATGTCGCGGCCCTCATCCAAATCCGGTGAGGGATGAAAAAAGGAAAGGGAAAGATTAAAAGTTAATCACCAACGTCAGTGTCGATAGTGCCACATAAGATGATCGACGTTCACGTCAGCAATTTCCGACCAATATTTTCGGTCAAAATGACTAAATTGGCACCATCGAAAGAATCAAAGTTAAATTAGTCGCCGTACAATAAGTTTAAGACTTTTTAAATAGCTTTCTTGGAAATAGCATCCCTTCGTAAAAACACCAAGAGCAAATCGATGGGGTCGTTTCCTTTTCGATCCTTCTGTTCCCGGACTATTTCTCCTACTTCATTTAAGCAAACCGTACTTTGTTGTTGACCTAACAATTGCACGCCTCCCTCTAAACCCTCTCCTGATTTATCAAAGAGGAAGAGAATACCCAATTGGCAAGAGAGATAGAGAAAGAGAACCAAAAGAAAGACGAAAGTGTCGGCGCCTTGGTTACCACTAATGGTAAGTAGAAGAAATGATCAAATGGGGGCACAGACAGGGATTGATTTATCAGTTGAAGCCCCTTTCCATTCCAAAGCTCTTGCATAAATGGAAGAGTTTTGCTTGGTGGTTTGTATCCGGATCGAGACAAGGGTTGGTGAGAGATCGTTCTCTTGCCTCTCACGTCAGTGTTTAATGGCGTTCACGGCCCGGCCGCCACGTGGCGCCCTCGATGCCAACTGGGCATCTGCCATCTGTCTTTTTTCCCCTTCAAAAACCATTAATAAAAAACCTATAGAGATTGCTTCCACATTGCTTGTGAAACAGGGCATGGTGCGCATCTGTCTTGCTTCGGTGTACCTCTGCATTACGTTTTCTTCTTCTGGGGTTGACGCCGTGCTTTATTTATTGAAAACCATAATGAAGGAGGAATATCAGATTGCCTTCGTTTGTGGAGAGCTTGGGTGAGGTAGAGGGTGACCGGATTCTAGGAAAAGGCGATGAAGTTCGGGATCTTGCATGTGGGGAGATGTATGATGTATCCGAGAATCTAGTGCCATGACTTCGATGTAATCAGATTTAGGGCCCGTTTGGTTCAGCTTTTAAAATGTTATTTGGGGGAATGCAAATTCTTTTAGGTTAAAGTCCATTGGGGAAATGCAAGTGGCGTTTGGTAAAAAATCATTTGTAAAATTATTTTGGCCTAAGTAGTGTTTGGTAAATTTTTTTTTGCCAAAGGGCTTTGGGAATTATCTTTTTTATTAAAAAAAAAAACCTATCCTACCCTTCGCCGGAGCCGGCGAAGGCCTATGGCCGCCGGTAAGCTAGATATGGCGCCGGCGGCCGTTGCCCGAGGTCGGGCGACCCCCGGCGAGCTAGATCTGCCGCCGGCGGTCGTCGCCCGAGGCCATGCGACCCTCGGCGAGGGTCGAGCGACCCAGGCGTTGGCCGCCTGGGTCATGCGACCTCGCCGGCCTCTCGTCGGCCCGATCCGGTGTCGACCGCCCTCACCAGCCACCTCACGAAAAAAGATGAACAGTACCAAGAGGGGCAAAATCGGAATAAGCTAAAATAAGTGAGGGTAGTTTGGGGACAAAAAATTTTGGTTTAGCATTCCACAAACGCCTGAAAGCCCTGGGCCCGACTTTGGGCTTTGGCAGATTCCAAACGCCCAGATTTGGCTAATCTTAGGCCGGAATCTGCAAAACCGTTTGGTTCAGCATTTTGGAAAGGGGCTTTTAAGGCTGAAAGCCCATTTCCAAAGCAGAACCAAACGGGGCCTTAGAGTAATGAGGTGGTTGGAGCAGGAGGCTCTGAAGTTTGTCTTAAGCCATGGCTGAAAAGGTTTCAATAGCCCAACGTGTTTTCCAATGAGAAAGGCCCGGTCCTCTCCTGAATTGGGCCTGAAGTTTGCTTGTTCAAATTCAGTTTCTTTAGGGGCCAGAAGTTCACTGATTCACTCAGTCATCAGTTTCAACTGTTGCTCCTAAATGCGTCTTTCCACAGTTCCATGACACACAGAATTGACAGTTTCACTAGGCTGCGTTTAGTTCACATTCACTGGGAATCAAGTAACTCCTCAACGTGAGAAAGAGAGAGAGGGAGAGAGAGAGAGAGTGCAAAACTTATAATATATCCTATAATATCTATAGTGTTACAGTAACTCAATTGGAATTGAAGAGCACATGCTCTCGACAGATTCGGATTGCTCCTCCTAGCAACAAAAAGAAGAATTTCTTGATGCACTCGTAGTATCTGAGATCTATCCCGCCGACTAAAAAAGGTCCATCTAGAAACAAAAGTGCGGCCCAGGAGGAAGTATAGACATGGCCAACCAACTCAAAGACGGTATGATGATGACAGGATGCAAATTATGGAACCTCTCCGAGCTCAAGATAGAATTTTATAGAGCCGGAAAGAGCATAGGTGGAGCCGGTGCCACACTAGGAATATTTCTATTAGCAAGGACCAAATATCTTTTTCGCAGCTGAAGGAAGATGCAGTGGGAGGGCCCAAGCAACCTTCTCGAGCTTGACCAAAACAAAAGGATTCCGAACCAAAATTACACATCCTACAGTCTTTGGATGTGTCGCGCCTCTTTAACTTAGTGTTCCATACTTAATGGATCTTCCTGGAGGATGGGACTATACTCCTCATTCCTACTGCTCAAGCCATCCCCAACACATGAGTGAAATACATTGCATTTTGCTACATTCTCGTGACTATGAGATTTGAGGAACTTAACAGGTATCTCCCCTTCTTCCTTCCTCCCATCTTTGCGTTTTCTAGTACCATCACTTGTTAACACTACCGGACAAGTGTAAGCCATGAAAGTGGCATCCACAGAATCAACCATATCCAGATCAGCATCATCAATTGTATCCACCGCTATGCCCTCGTTATACGGGGGGAGGATAAAAGCATCGTTAAAATTGTCACCTCTTAGCTTGAAAACTGGTAGCTCATACTCTATTCTTGACTTGCAAACTACTGCCTTTGCATGGAGCTTCAAAATATCACTGTCAAAGACTCTTATCCCTAGATCCTCTACAATCAGCAGCCACTCTGAAATACGAGAAAATTTGAATCTCATAACTTCGTTTTAAGTCCTCATAGCGTTTACAGCTAAAACAGTCATTAATCGCGTATATAGCCGACAAGTAATTCCACACAGTCAGACCCTCATAGCAACTTAGCACATAGAAGGAAGAAGAGCCGTAGCAGATAATGATATCGAAAACAGTATTAAAAGCAAATAAAGATATAAGAGGGACTCACTAATAAGTGCTGCTGGAGTTGATGCCGTTGGTCTGCTGGTTATTCTCCCCGGACCAGTTTGACAAGTAACCCATTTGAGCAATTGAGAAGGTAGCCAGGATTTAGAGACTGCATCCTTATAAGAGTCTACTTTGCTATGGTCACCATTTTCCCTACAGCCAGTTTAACACATCTCTCTCATATAATGATTAAATAAGCAAGTGTAGCATAGAAGGAGTGGTATTCATGCTCTCATACCTAATGAATTGCATGGCACTTTCAGCTACTAACAACAACAAGACAGCTGAGCTCTTCAAGACCTCGACACGAAGCTTTCTCCCATTTTGAGGGCTCAGAAATGGATAATCCACCATTATCAGGGCATCATATAGGACTTCTCGTAAGAGAATTTCATCCTCGAATTTCTGCAAAAAAAAAAATTACCAAGCGTATAAAAGAAGAGCTGGACACTAGCTACGTCTCCATTAGCAAGAGCAACAGGATATCTTCAGGCGAATTTCAAATCCAAAACTACCACAACAAGTTATCTAGAGTTTTAACTTTAGAATGGTATAGCAAATATAAGATAACAGCTCAGGGAGGGGTCCTTTACAATCCCAGTATCCTCAAATGTGATCCAAATAACGAGATTCTCCCTCACAATCTGGTTCACACCTTGAAGTGAAGAATATTTATCAAAGATTAAGTGACTGCAGTTCACTATAAACATTCATGGGCAGACTCAGGAAACCGGCAAATAAAAAGTATGAACAATATAGTTTTAACTCTCGTAGATTGAGCCTATGATCTTTTTTACTCATGATTCAAGTATCTTCGTCCCAAGTAAGATCAACTGAGCAGGCATTTAAAGTCTTCGTCTAAAGATGTGCGCACGAGCTTTTTTTAATTTTGCATAAAAATCTTAGTGCAAGCTAATCAGTGAACACGAATGTCCTTTGCTATGGAGCCAGCTTCATGAAGATAAAAACATAAGTATATCTCTTTCATGCAACCCAAAGGAGGAAAAAAGGTCTATGACATGACTTGTGTTTTACCATCCTGATCTGACTGTTCTGTCTCCATTGGGATTTTGTGAGACTTGATTTGGCTTGAAATCCACAAAGCAAGGTAAATTAAAAGCTCCGTGCCTCCTAACTTTTAAGGTTAAGGAAAAAAAGACTAAGCTAATGCACTTACTAGTAGCAATGTCACAGGTAAAACTGGATCCAATAGCATGCTAAGAAGAGTACCTGACATCAAATCAAACAATGGTGGTATTGAATTATCAAGCATGACAAAACAATAGTTTACTAATTTCATGAAAACTAATGTTTGATTGAAAAGGGACAAATACAGTATCAACACAATCAAGGAGCCAGTGGATGCCACCTACGGAGTCTGAGACTCGCTCATGACACATCAAATCAATGTTCTGTCAAAAATAGATTCCTACATGTACTATGGAACTCTGTTGAATGCTAATCACCTCAAGAATAATGTTCGGACATGTTACACCGAGGGAGCGACAAGGCACTTTAACATTGCAAATGGAACTACAAGCCTGAAGAAAATCCAAAAACAAACAAACGCAAGAATGTGGCTCTCACCGAAAAAGCAAAAGTTTCTAAATCCAGCAATAGTCTGGACTGCCCAGCTATGCATGTCTCTCTCCAACTCGGCTCGCAATGTCCGGGCATCCAACTTCAAGCATAACCTCAACAAAAATACCTCGGTCATAACAACCCCGGCCAAACGCCCCATGCCAGCCCCGCGATCCTTACAAATCCCCTCGCGAACATCGTCGCTAACAACCGGAAAGAACGACTTCGCATCCTTCTTCGGCTTATCGACCATCCACACACGAATCAAATCCAAGAAGCACGGACCCAGAGACTCCAGTTCATCCTCTTCTTCGAACTCCCTACCGCCACAGATGCTGATATAACTGACCACGACCTCCAGCAAGTCCTCGACCTCTCTCTTCAAGCTCCTCCTCTCGACCGCCAGAAAGTACAGCTCGTAAACCACCGGGGCGAGCGCGGCCACCTTCTTGACCGCATTGCACGAGCCGGAGCAGGACGCCAGCAGCTGGAACAGCTCCTTGACCCTCGACACCTGCTCCGAGGCGGCGCCACAGCGGCCGCCGGCCGCTGGCTTCGCGGCGTGGTGGGTCAGCGCGGCGTAGAACCAGATGGTCTCGAGAGGCGGGTCGGGCAGGCTGTGGAGCAGGCGGGAGAAGATGGCGGCGAAGCCGGAGAAGTCTGGCGATCCGCCGTGGTACTCCAGCAAGAAGCGGTCCACCGATTCCTTCAGCATGGGGTGGAGGGGGTCGGGAGGGCTCCGGTCGCCTGACGCCGCCGGGTTCATGCCGGCGCGGGGGATTCGGGCGGGATTTCCGGCGGAATTGGGGACGGATTTCAACGGAGATTGGGATCAGCGGGGGAGCGGAGAGCGAAACCCTAATTTTGCGGGGCCCGTGTAGGAAGGGAGGAAGGGAGGAAGAAGAAAAGGGGAGGGAAGGTGGGGGCCGTTACGTAACGGGCAAATTTTTTGAATTTGGTCTTAATAGAAAAATAACGTTTATTTATTTTTTTTGAGAGCGAGAAAAAAAATTATGGATAATGACACAAATTGTCCCTGAAATTTGACTTGATATACAATTTGATCCCTAAACTTTGAATTTGTGCATTGTGGCCACTAAAATTTTAGTCCAATGTTCAATTTAGTCCATAAACTGTGAGAAAATGTTTAATATTGTGTTTATAGCCTAAATTAAACATGTACCGAAAATTCATGGACCACGTTGAACAATATAAAAGTTTGTAGACGACGTTGCAAATTGGGCCAAAATTTAAGAATTATCCGTGACATTCACCCAAAAGATCAAATGTGTGATCAATTTACGATATTTATTTTTTTGTTAGAAATTTTCGATAAACCAGATGAATGTCAAATTCGACTGTTAGTTTCTCAGGAAACTAGCGTGCCCATATGATTTCAAAAGGGGCTGTTATTAGGATTATTTTTCACGAAGATTATTATTTCAAACGAAATTAAATTTCCTTTCGTGTGGTATTTTAAGGGAAAAAACCACCAAAAACCCCAAACTTTTCCACTTGTGACACATTTACCCCGAACTTTTTTTTGTGACACCAAAAACCCCAAACTTTGTTATTTGTGACACATTTACCCCGATATACATTGTCCATGGGCATTTTCGTCTTTTTAGCTTTTTCTTTTTCTTTTTACTTTTTTTTTTTTCTTTCCCGCGAGGGCCCTCGCCGGCGTCGGCGAGGCTCGCCTCGCTCGCCCAGCGAGGGCGAGCCCCGCCCGACGCCGGCGAGGCTCGCCCGCCCGGGCGAGCGAGGGCGAGCCTCGCGGCGCCGGCGAGCCTCGCCCCGCCCGGGCGAGGGAAGGTGAGGAGGGCGACGCTCGCCGGCTGTCGGCGAGCCTCGCCTCGCACGGGCGAGCGAGGGCGAGGCTCGCCGGCTGCCGGGCAAGCCTCGCCCGGCTCCGGGCGAGGAGGGCGAGGCTCGCCCTCGCCCGGGCGAGGCTCGCCCGACGCCGGCGAGGCTCGCCCTCCTCGCCCAAGCCTCGCCGGCCTCGCCCTCCTCGCCTGTGCGAGGGCGAGGAGGGCGAGGCTCGCCGGCTCGGGCGAGCCTCGCCTCGCCCGGGCGAGCGAGGGCGAGGCTCGCTCGACGCCGGCGAGGCTCGCCTCGCTAGCCCGAGCGGCGAGCCTCGCCGGCGTCGGGCGTGGCGAGCCTCGCCCGACGCCGGCGAGGGCGGCCTCGCCGGATCTCGGCGAGGGCCCTCGCCCTGGCAGCCGGCGAGGGCCCCCTCACGGAAAGAAAAAAGAAATAAAAAGAAAAAAAAAGCTAAAAAGACGAAAATGCCCATGGACAATGTATATCGGGTAAATGTGTCACAAATAATAAAGGGTTTTGTTACAAAAAAGTTCGGGGTAAATGTGTCACAGGTGGGAAAGTTTGGGGTTTTTTGTGGTTTTTTCCCTATTTTTAAAAGATGTGAGATGTTTTTGGTATTAAATGAAAGTAATATGTAAAGTAATAATTAACTATTTGTTCCGTCATTTGGTCCTCATCCCATCGACAGCTAAATCCCTTTTGCAAAATTGATTCCACCGCGAGATGCCACGTGTCGCGTTTTTATTGGCTTCCATCTCCAAGATGATGTGATGCAGGATATCACCATTCATCGTACGCTGTCCCTCGTAAAATCCTGGCCACAGCTTGGTAGCTTCAAGATGCAAAATGCACGAATGAACTTTAATTAATGTTTCGACCAAAAAAATATATATTCTTTGACAAATCATTATTTTAAAAAATGGCAATATTTTCCAGAAAAACGAACTGAAAATTATGTTTTCATTTTCTCGGAGAGATGTGTATTACTCATGCGATATATAAACTATACGATATTATATCATTGAACTTTAAATTAAACTTTATCAAATTAAATTTTCATAATGTGATTACTTTTAAGATTGTGAATGATTTTTTTTTCCTCTTATGATTATTTATCACTATAGCCACTTTGCGCATATTTTGTCCACCTATTTAGAATAACGAGATGGGAGTTGCAAAATATCAACATGTTGGAGCACGCATAATGGATGTACTCGAAAGGAAACCGATGTACTCGAAAGAGCGACATAAGCAGATGATTACTTGTTTTTCCACGTTCGATTCGACCACGAAGTGTTCATTTTTCTTGAAATCTTCTACTTTTAAAGAGGGAAATTCCAAGTTCATCTCTTGCTAGAGGGACATCCGCACACCCTAGACATCCCAATTCGATAACTCTTGAAAACCTCATGAGCGTAGATTTCACAAGGGACTTGGCCTTGGTTGTCAAGTCTTGGGATTTAGGCATGACTTTCTTAGATCCCAGCACAAGCATCGAGGTCTTGGATATGTGATCGACAATATATATATATATATATATATATATATATATATATATATTTTATGTTTGGATCTCATTTAGAAAATAATTTCAATCTTACACGAAAAAAAATATGGATTTATCTTGTGAGTTATTGGACTTGATTCGCTTCCCGACACTCTCCTCTTACTCATCTTCTCCAAGATTTCCAACCTCAAAACTCTCATCCTCTGCTCCTCCATCTACAAGCGCTTCTGCCTCATCGTCCCTCGTATCGACACCGTCTCGCTTCCTGTCAACTATTTCGATCGTGGCGGCTTCGCCAAAGGTAGCTCCGTTCATGCTCTAAAGAGGATCTTCAAAAGCTTCGACATTAAACAGATCGGATCGAGGTCGTCAGCTTCGATTTGCTGCTCCAGCAGCCGTGTCGCCCCATTTGATGGGCACTCTCACCTCAAGGACCGGTTTCGTGAGCTCAGAGCTTTTCGCGTCGAGTTCATTAATCATGATAATAGAAGGGAACCAAAATTCTGCGAACTAGAGTTGTACTGGACAATAAAACCTTCCTCTTCATAATTTTCTCATCACACGCCAAAATAACTTAAATGACAACAGCATTAAAGTTGTGAAGTCGCGCTCACCACATAAAACTGGCGATTACTCACCCTAGCACGGGAGAACAAAATTTGTCTGAAATGCTAGCCGCGAACTCACTGGCCAATGTCGATTCGCCGTCGGAATCCGATAAGAGCATAATCAAGTCAATGATCCAGCAAGCAATCGGCTCGTCGTCAGAGACCAGGAGCGCTCAGGTGAGAGGAGAGGCGAGGAGGTGGGCACGGAAGGCGAGGACGGATCGGAGAAATGGAAGGTCTGAGGCGTGGAAGCAATTCCGAAAAATATTTTCATCTTTTCAAATCAAGGAATTCACTCTAATTCTATATGCGAATATTTTCGTTCACCGAAAAGTATTTTCGGTCGACTGTTATTCATTATTGGCCAACTAAACGGGAGAAAGTCCGGAAAATTATAATTTTCGAAATACAGAGAACTTGTGTTAAAAAAAAAATTAATCAATACCGAGAACTCACTTTTTATACTCGCCCGATCCAACGGTTCTCGGATCAAGAAGGCCCAAACCCCGATCTCCTGCCGATCGGGTCTCTTCAAGTCCACGGGCGGATCTGACCGTACCCGACCCGACAAGCTCACGAAAAAATCCCTTCACTGTTTTTTTTCCTCAAATATTTTGAAAAACCAAAATATAAAAAAAAAATCCCATTAAAAAAAAAAAGAGCGAAAAATCAGGAAGATCTCACGGCCAAGATTTCCGCGTCGTATATAAACCACGGCGCCCCCTGTCTCTCCTCCAATCTCCATTTCTAGGGTTTCTCTCTCTCCCTCTCCCTCTCTATCTCTCATCTTCTCATCGTACCGATGGCGGACGAAGCTCAGTACTCTTCCGACGCCGGGAGCCACAAGCGCAAGTACGAGGAGCAGACCGCCCCCTCCCCGCCGGCCCCGCGCCGGCCGACCGGCTTCTCCTCCGGCCCGATCCCCTCCGCGTCGCCGCCCGACTCCGGCGGCCCCCTCCCGCCCCCCTCGTACAAGAGCGTCCCGCCTCCCCCGTCCGCCGACGACGTCCAGGCGCAAGTCCAGAACGCGAAGCAGCGCGCCCAGGAGATCGCTTCCCGTCTCCTGTTCAACGCCAGCGCCGGGGCGGCTGCTGCCGCTGCCGCCGCGGCGGCCGGCGGCGGCGGCGGAGGGTTCGATGCGAAGCGCGTGAGGGTCGAGAACGGAAGCGGATTTGACTCCACCGAGAAAGGTCTCGAGCTTTGAGCTTGTGAATTTTTTTTTGAGGACGTTTCCAGATGCATGATTTCGCTATTTTTTTTTCTCAACATGTTCATCTCGGTAGCTTATGTCGTCTGTTAGAACCTGTAAGATGATGCTCGTGCGGGAGACATCGATTCACTAGTTGTCTAAGCTTGGGACATGTATTCGCTGGTTGTCTATGTTTCTGCCTTTTGTCTGATAGAAAGCCGGTGCACCATGCGCTGCTTCTGGCGCTTCTTTTCGTCTTGTTGCAATTGTCGCTGATATCCTCCAACGTTCTATCAACACGTTTCATTCGAACGCTTGTGTGGTAACTTTTTGGCATCTACGACTTGTTTCAGATGGGAAGCCCATGATGAGTGCACCGTCAGCGATTCCTGTATCATATGGCTATGGCCAGGGGACAAGCAAAAAGATTGATATTCCTAACGGCAGAGTTGGAGTGATTATTGGTAAAGCTGGTGAGACTATTAAGTATCTTCAGCTCCAGTCTGGGGCAAAAATTCAGGTCACCCGTGACATGGATGCGGATCCCAATTCGCCGACCAGGCCAGTAGAACTGATGGGCACGCCTGAACAAATTGCCAAGGCTGAGCAATTGATAAACGATGTTCTTGCTGAGGTGGGTTCTTGTTTTTCAAGTTTATCACCTGTTTGTTATTTGCTGTTACTGGAATTGTGCTTGATTTTGACCTGGAACATGCCCACAGGCTGAAGCTGGGGGCTCTGGCATAATCTCTAAAAGAGTG